GTTGAGGTCCACAAATCATAAAAGGGCCATAGTTCTCACCTCTGGTCTAGAACAATAGTTTAGATTCTTATTAAACATATTACACCGTATTCTCAGGGCCTTTTAAAGAAAGGCTAATCCTAGAAGCTATTACAATATTTCAAACCTACAGGCTCACTAAATACATTTGAACAGGATAAAAAAAAATGCCTGGAAACCAATACTTTATATATGCATGGTTTTAACTGAACCAAGAGTATTTAATTGCAATAAAATACTCTAGAGCCACAAGCTGCATGCTTGCTAACTTGTCAGTGTAAGCATTTAATAAAGAAATGATTCTTTTTCACAGACATATTTTTTAAACTGTGCAGACACTCCATTTTATTTCATGAAAACTTTTTTTTCAGCATGAAAAAGGGAAGGCAAAATAATGGTTCATTAAAATGTGAAAATAAAACAATATATCATAATAATTTTTAAATTAGCTTTTCAAAGCAGCTCTTGTGATTGGGAAGAAGTTGGAAACAAAAGCACATAAAAAGCATATCAGATAGAATATTCTATCCCCTTGGGAGAGAGGTAGCTAACATGGCTAATGCAAGAGATTGTGAATAACAAACAAAAACTTGTGTGATACACTTTGGAATTTAAATTTAAGCCAGTGGTCAGAACATGTGAAAAGTAGTGTGACAATGTATTTATTGACTTTTTTTTAAAAGGAGAGCACATCTTAGACTTCTTAGTCTTTTTTCTAAATGCCCCTACTGTATGAATATGGTAATTCATTTATTTACTATTATTTATTTAATAGTATTACATTATTGATTTATCCTTATTAAAATTATTATTTATTTATACCCCACCTTTATTATTTTTATAAACAACTCAAGGTGGCAAACATATCTAATATTCCTTTCTCCTCTTATTTTCCCCACAATAACCACTATGTGAGCTGAGTTAAGCTGAGAGAGACTGACTGGCCCAAAGTCACCCAGCTGGTCTTTCATATCTAAGGCAGAACTAGAACTCCTGAGCTCCTGGTCTCTATCCTGGTGTACACGAGCCTGGCTCCAGGGAATTGTAAACGCTTCTTTAGGGGAGGGTGCCTTCCCCACGGCCTTAAAGGAGGCGGTGGTGAGGCCCCTCCTTAAGAAGCCCTCCCTGGACCCAGATGTATTGGCCAACTATCGCCCGGTCTCCAACCTTCGCTTTGTGGCGAAGGTTGTTGAGAGTGTGGTTGCGCAGCAGTTCCC